TATATATATATATATTAAAGATATTTAAAAACTATAAGGATCATTATTCATTTGAACTAAAAAATTTCGAGTTGTTCCATTACTTTCGGCAAATTATTCGGGTTTCTCATTATATATGATTTATATTTTATGTTACACAAATTATAAAATAATTGATTATCGAAAAAAAAAATATTTACATTTAAATGTAGAAGGGAAATTTATTTTGATATAATATATAACAATAAAAAAATATAATTAATTCTATAAATTAAATTAAAAATCTGTATTATGTAAACAATTGTTTAAATTAGATTTTCATACCTATATTAGAGATAAATGTTATCAAATTAAATAAAATTAATATTTTAATACTATATATTTAAAGAGTTAATAGTGCTAGTGTAAAGTTTTTTTACACCAATAACCAATCAAATCTTTTTAATTATTTTATTTTATTTTCATTTTATTAAATAAACAATTGACATAATACTATTAAAAGATCTGATTGGTTACCGGTATAAAAAAACTTTACACCGACAGTGTATAAGTGATTAACTCATTTAAATCACTATTTTAACTAATTGATTTGTTTTAAATTATATACCTATGCAACAAAATTTTAAAAAAATGCATTAAAAAAAACGAATTGATTAAATCTTACAAATTAATTGAGAGAATATTTATAGATGAATCTCATGATTAATTTATTTTTTTTTTTACCAAATACCCCTACAAGAAAAACTAAGACTACCTTTCAGGTCATGGATGGTGGCTAAGCAAAACCCTCCGTAATGCAGTGATTTCAAGATTTATGTTTAAAACAAAAAAAAAATTACATTTCATTTTTATATAAATCACTTAGCTAAGTATATTAGTTTTTAAATAATAAAATAAATATTATCAGATGTAAAAATGTGTATACATAATCCACCGGGGAGGGGCCTAATTGTACCGTTATAAGTTATGACAACTATTACGTCGTTCAAAAAGTGATTTTTATCAATTCAACTGTTAAATTAAACAATTATAAGTGTATAACTAAAAATCTGTTTATATATTTTTAAAAACCATATACATTAATTTTGATGTATATCAAAGAATTTTAATTTCATGTCAATTTTGTATAGCTTACAGTGAGTGTGATCAATTCGATCACACGTGGTGAAAATAAAAACTTTATATTAAAATATTAACATAAAAAACAAATAGGGGATATTAACATAAATGATAAAATATTTAAAATTGTTCTCTTGTATTAATTACTCAATTTATTTACTCAATTTAATAATCAATCAATCTGTACACACCCAAGATACAAAACTAACATTCAAAATTCAGACAAATCGATTCGTTACCAATAAGCTCAAGCAAAATGACCACAACCAACATCCAAGATAATCTGTAACAATATATAAAGGTAATAGCCAATTATAGTTACACAAATTTTGGACTATTTTATCTTTATATGTTATAACTACTTTCAAAATACTTCCCCTCCTACTATTTTTCTATTTAATTGCTATTTTTTTTTTCTACTTCTCATAAATTTTCTACTAATCACCCATTTCATTATTTATTTTTTTAAATAATAGAGGCACGTACCGCCTGTCTTCCGCTATTCCTTTTAATGAAGATGCTTTTTCTAATATTTACTAATAAATTGTGCAATTGACCATCAATTTAGTAGCACATTTAAGCATTAAACTGCAAATCCATCAAATACCCCTTCACTATTATTCTAGAACATATGAATAAACTACAAAAGGTATTACTAGAACATGCACAAGAATAAATAAATGCTTATGATCTATAATTATAATGATAAGTTATAACAAACCAAGGTTTGCATGTACCTCTAGAGAGCCTGATGGAACAAAGTTCTATATATTCCAGGAATACAGGTAACATCCTCAACATGCTAGCTTTGATACTGCAGTGACATTTGCACGTAAATGTCATAAAAGAATTCTTGGACTTGAGAAAACTTTAACCCTTACATGATGCACAAATATGATAAGTTTTTATATTTAATTTTCATTGCAGTATTAGTAATACTCTTCAGTTCTACAATACACTTGAGAAATTAACATGCTGAAATTGCACATTTCTTTCAATGAGTAAGGAGATAATAAAATAAGAGTGCAAAAATTGTTTCAAATACAAAAATCTACGAAAGAATGAAAATTTTCCAGAACATCCTATATAAAGGGGAAAAAAATCCCATTCTCATATATAAACGCATTGATGCTTCACTGGTCACAATTTAAAGCTCCAACCAAAAGTCAACTTACAAACAAAGAACCCTGCACTCAAGTACAAACCCTCTTGAATGACACTAACTTTTAACCATAAGAATCCATGAAAAATCTTCCAAAATCATTCGTTCCATTTAGATTTAAATGCAAGAAACTTCAACAAACACTAATTACTGCAAATAAATAAACTACAGTTAAACAATTAATTTTGCATCCAAAAAAATAGAGTTTCCTTGAAGCAATAGTCATTTGTACTTTACACCAAGAACTTGCACAAGTGGCAAGCACATACGCATTAAACATCAGAAAATGTTAACAGAGTAATACTGGCTTATAGACATCATCTCTCTGACTGAAACATATTCATCATTCCTTAATATCAAAGATATCAAAGGAATGCATTACCTTGGGAGTAGAAAGTTACTGTCATTTTCTTCAACAAAATGGACAGAATGCACTCTTCCACATCTTGTGAACTGTCTCTTGCAAACACAATAGGAACATTAAAAAAAGCAAAAGAACTTCTAGTCACAGGAAAATCCAAGTTGCTTTAATACTCGACCAGTTTACAGTATGGCAGTCAATGAAAATATGTTACAATTACAATTTCCAGCAGATGCGGACTATTCCAATTTTCAGAAGGCAAGTATGCCACACTTTATGTAAAAGCTGTGCCCCATGTGCATCAGTATTTCACTATAATGATCAAGCGTGAAGAAGGTTAACCTGAAATAAATCTGGTTCCAAGGAAGTAAAGAATATATATCTCGACAAAAACCAACAAGAAGTGCCTTATAAAAAACTGCACGAGTGATTGTCTAACAATCAAAATTAGCAACTTCCATTCAGCACTTACACTAACCTCATGCGTGCAAATATTCAGCAGGGCATGTTAGAATGATTATTGTGAACAAAAAATAAAATTGCACCATTCTTAACCAAAAATACCACCAGTCCCTGATTCACCCTGCAGCATCTCCTTCCGGTGCTGCTCAGCTAATGGATCTGGGCTCTTTAATATTCTCCTCATTCGCCTATTTACGCAATTATGAGTCAAATAAACAAGTAAAATTAAAATAAATAAATAAATAAAAATAAAAAAAATACCATAGGCAACATCTTATTTAGTCACCTGTCTTGAGCATTTTGAGCAGGGAATGTAGGCATAAATTCTTTAGACTTCGGAAGGGGAACTTCACGAAACCACTCATGGTTTAGAGCTTCTTCAGCCGTGATCCGCTGCGCATATTAATGATAACAGCTCATATTCTTAATAAACATTGACATAAATTACTATTTACTAAATTAAGTCGAGCAGTATGTATAATTTACCTTTTCAGGGTCATAAGTAAGAAGCTTGTTCAACAAATCAAATCCAGAATCAGAAAGAACTGGTGATCCAGTGAATGATGTTGCAGGGAACTTTTTACGCAGGAGATTATACCTGAAAGGAACATTCTGGTAGTTAAAACAAACTAGAAAAAGCTGGGTAGAAGTAACCAAGAGAGGCCAGATAGCCAAACCAGAACCACCCAGAGTTGGAAGCCTGGGAAACAGTGACAAAAAAATAAGAACAGTGGAAGTGAACAGGCAAATTCTTAAATAAAGGAAATAAAAAATACTCACTGATTCTTGACAAATTTGACCTTGACTCGAGGTAATTCTGAGAACCCAGGCCAAATTGTTTCATTTGGTGTGCCAAGAATTCTGAAAATCTGCGAGTAGATAAATAAATGTTAATAGACCTGAGCCACTTGAAGAGGCACCAAATGTTGAAAGACCAAGTTCGAGCAAGAACTAATCCACTACAAGACAAAATGGCATTGAAGTGTACCTTATCAATTTGTTCAAATTCAGTCTTCCCATTAAACAGTGGTTCCTTGGACAATAGCTCAGCCATTATACAACCCAGAGACCACATGTCAATAGCTGTTGAATACTGTTTTGTCCCCAAAAGAAGTTCAGGCGCCCTGAGAAACAAATAGATGACCATCAATTAAATAGGCTCTTCTACTGCAAGGGAATGGAGTCTGAGACATGCTTAAATACAAAGTCCAATGACATTATAAAAGCAGCATCAGAATGAAATGACAGACTTCTGGGTGAATGTTTACAATTAAGAATGGAAACATATATAAACAGAAATTTAACTTTCAAAAGACAAGATAATTAACTGCAAGCTTGCAATAATACATTAATACCACAAAAAAAATATTGCTGAATATAATCAAATTAAGATTAAGTTCTACAGCAATGGATGACCTAATGACAACATAGTTGTTAAATTCACAACTACTGAACTAAACTATACTGAGGAATGTCATAGAAATTAACCAGTGACATAAATAAACAAAAAAAAATGCCATGTCTAACCAAATGACTCACCTGTACCAAAGAGTAACCACCAGGTGTGTATATGGTTTCAATGGGCTCCCATACTGACGAGCCAATCCAAAATCACAAATTTTTAGTTCACCTCTATTATTCAGAAGCAGGTTTGAAGTCTTCAAATCCCTATGAAGCACCCAGTTGTCATGAAGGTACTTCACACCTTCTAAAAGCTGGAGCATTAAGCATTTTACTTCACTCTGGCTAAATGGCTGCTTCATTGCCTCCATTAGTCCTTTAAGATCATGTTCCATGTATTCCATAACCATGAAAATACTATCAAGGTTACTTCCTACCACTACTTCTTTAACATCAACTATGGATGGATGGTGAAAGGAAAGAAGAATGTTTATTTCCCTAAGAGAAGTAAGTGGAAAACCTTCTTTTTCCTTCTCCATCTTCACCTTTTTCAATGCCACAACTTTGCCACTTTTCTTATCTTTGGCCCTAAAAACAACACCATATGTCCCTTCATCTATCCTGTTCAGTCTCTCAAACTCATCAACACTTCTACACCCCTGAAGCATGTTGACAGCTCTTTGAAGCGGAAACAGGCGGTCAGGAGTTCCTCTGCTATCATCTTCAGAATCTGTATCTGAATGATAACCACTAGTTTCACTTCTGCTACCTTGACCATCAATCTCCATATAATCATCTTTACCCGACTCAATACTAGGATGATCATCACCACTGGACGATCTCCCACGGCTACCTCTTTCTTCAGATTCGGATGATTTGGCTCTAGCTCCTACAAACTCTTCTATTTTACATTCCTCCAGTCTCGACACCTTGTTTCTTATTCTCATACCCAGATCAGGAGATAGCTTCCTCCTCTTAAGAATTTCCTTGTCATCAGTGATTTCACCTTCATCACTAGAAGAGTTGTCTCCAGCTGCCCATCTAGAAGATGATATATTACGAGTTGGAATATAATCTTCACTTTCAGGTTGCTTGCCTTCCTGCTCGTTACCCCGTCTCTGATCAAGCACAAATGAATGCAAACCTACAGGAGATTCAGACTCATCATCCTCGTCTGACTCAGACAGCAAAGGAGGATTAGTTACAGTTGGTAACTCGAGAATCTCAGCTTCTGTATTTTTGACAGGATGAGTTCCAACAACATTAGGTGACTGTTGGACTCTTGCAAGTGGAGGTGAGAGAGGCAGAGTAGTTACAGCTGTTACAACCCTATGTTTGAATAAATTGACTTCCCTCTCGTCCTGATCCCATACTATTGGTGAAAATTTTCTTTTCCTCTCTAGCAGAGATTGTCCCCCATTTCCTCCACCTGTTCCAAACCCCTCGCAGTATTTTTCCTGTGATCCTGAGTCAATACCATCATCAGACCCACTTTCACTAGAAAGCTCACCTGGCTCTTTATCCATAGCCTTAACAGAAAACCCACATCGTTTGGGACCAAGCCCGCTACTACAACCGCCACTACCGCCCGAGTCACTCTTACTCGAAGATGAACGATAACTGCCATTTGCAGCTTCCCTCACCCTAATATCTTTCTCTCTCAGTCTAATTCCATCTCTTGCATCCCTGCTCACACCCCTTGCAACACCGTGGCTACCATTCCTCACCCTATCATACTCCTGTTTAGAACTATCATTAATAACCCGCCTTGAAACATCAAAATTCGACTCACGGTCCCTAAACTCGTTCTCACGATAACCTCCATGTCTACCAGCCGCCATAGATATACCTATAACCCTAAATTCCGAAAAAAAAAAAACTAATCCCCTAAAGCAACAAACGACAATTTCGTTTCTGAAACCCTAAACGCATGAAGAACCGAATCCTACCAAATTGCTTAATCGAAGAATAAAAAAGCGCGTTAACCAAGTACAAACCCTACGAAACGAAGTTAGATCGAAAAGCAATTCCAGCTCGAGCGAGAAAACGAAGCCGATAAATGATGAGCAGAGGTTGTATTATAGCGCTAGTGTGCAACAAGAGTTGGAATGTAAATGCAGGAAACAGGATCGAAACCCTAGAAATTTAAGAAGAGAAATGAACCGTTGGAATTGTGATGGTTGAACTTGAGCGAAGTCTCGATGGTGAAGCAAAACAAGGACGATATATATATATAGGAGAAATATGACCCACCGTCACCGTCACCGTCACCGGCGATAGGAAAAAGGAGAGAGAATATCCCGGTTCCGGTCCAAAAAGGAGTAAACAGAGATAGTAAATAGGAAGAGGAGTAATCCAAACAACGAGAATATTCTGGTCAATAAAAGTGTGTTTTGTGATTTTTAATATAAAATTTAATAAAGAATACAAATATGTTTAAATAAGAATTAAAAAATGTAATATTATTTTTATTTTAATTTTAGTATATGCACCGTGAGGAATACTGGTTTGTTTTATATAATTAAAGTTTATAATAAATATATATTTTTAAATATAAAAAGTACGTTATGATTAAATCCATAGTAAATAAATTATATTTTAATTTTTTAATATAGTTTATATTGTGATACAATTTTATTATTGATGAATTTTAAAATATATTACAATTTAATTTATAAATAAAAATACAAAGTAATAAATAAAAAGTTTAAAAAAATAAAAACACTATCATTAAAGGGAAAAATAACTCTTAGAAACATTTTTGTAAAGAATAATATATAAAAACGCTTTTATTCTAATTTTAATTTTGTTTTTATTTGATTAAAAAGTGGAACACTAGTTTCATCGCGGTGAACACGGTTTTTTTTGTTTTGTATTGTATATGCAAAAGCGCCAAGCTTTCTACCTCACCGCTCCCCGTAGGTACCCGCCCGAACCCGCCCCAATTTGGATGGGAAAAACCCGTGTTTATCGGGTTCGGGTTCGGATTTGAGTTTTCCTCGATTGATAAAATCGGGGGCGGGAGCGGGGGCGGGGATGTTAATACCTACCCACCCCGCCCCCGTCCCCATACCCGCCCCCGCCCCGCTTAATAATATAATTAAAAAATTATTTTTATAAATATAAACCAAAATTATAAATATTTATATGTAAAAATTTATATTATTTTATTTTTCTTTATTTTTTTTTAAATTGTTCATATTTATTTAAAAGAAAAAA